AAAAATTAGGTGAACTGTCACATGTCAATATTTGGGATGCACATGGGTTATATTTCCTGAATGGGAGGGCTTTATCAATAGGAAGGAGTCTGAGGAAATGTCAAGATGTTCAATTTCATATCGGAAAATTTATTTCATAATACATGCATTTTTTTTTAAATTTAATTAATATTGTTGGAAAGAAATGAAATTAAGATGTAATATTAACTTTTTAAATTCACTCAAGTTAACTCACATGACCTCTCTTGTTGTGTATCATATGTCAACCATAGTAACTTTTTAATATAAGATTATTCCCATGTTCTTTATTAGGAAGAGCTGAACCAATTTCAGCAAATTACAGATTAATTAATTTTTGTATGATTTCATGGTCCTTGTCCATATCCTCATTAAAGTAATGCATTTTTTTTAAAAAAAATTTTTTCTCTGAGCTAGATATTTAAAGCAGCAGTCAATTTAGTTGGATTGGTTATAGCTGCAGAACTGTAGCGTTATGGTTTTATATTTTAGTCTTTGACCATAGCGCTACAGATCCTGTAATGTAAATAAAGTGCAATTTATGGCGCAAGATTTTCTGCGCACTTTGTGGATGTATTTCGCCACTTTCCAGCATTGGTCAATCATAGACCTTTCATCCCCTAATTCTAGACACATTCTATAACCAACTTGTATATTTTATCCACCTTCTAACCCTTTATAGTCATCTCTATACAGACCACGTTAATAAACTCGCTTGTTGTGAATTTGTTGTCGGATGGCATAACGAGTTTATTGGTCTATAGAGACGACTATAAACGGTTTATAGGAGGTGAATAAAATATACAGGGTGGTTATAGAATATGTCTTGAATAAGGGGATAAAAGGTTGTTGATTGACTAATGCTGGAAAGTGGCGAAATACATCCCCAAAGTGGGCAGAAAATCTTGCACCATAAATTGCACTTTATTTACATTACGGAATCTGTAGCGGTATGGTCCAAGACTAAAATATAAAACCATAATGCTACAGTTCTGCAGCTATAATGGTTACTATGAAATCACTTTTTTTTCAAAGGGGGGGGGGGTAATTTTCATCTTTTTCAATGTCTGAAGAGACCCACAAATTCATGCCCCCCCCCCCCCCCCCCCCCCCCCCCCCCCGAAATGTAAAATGAAAGATATGTACATTTTAAATATATTTCTTCAACAATAAAATTACTGATAAACTTCCTTTTTTCCTTGAACCATGAAAATTTGATCCCTTAAAAAACTAGTAGACTAATTGTTCTCGAACAATTAGAGGTCTTTCCACCTTATTTAAATTTCATATATTCTTTATATTTAACTCTCTACTGTTTATTTTTATACAAAAGAAACCAGAAATGGCTTGAGATATGGAAAAAATGAAATTAAAAAAAATTGAATGACCTTGACCTTTGACCTTGAACAATTATTTAAGTTCATAAGTCAAGGGTCACATTGCACTTGACCCCATGCTTTTACGACTTTTGGTTTTAAAGTTATAAGGTTTAATAGTAAGAGCAAAGATGTTAAAGGGCGATAACTCATATAAGGGGTCATGGGATCCTTTCGCACTGAATAGACTGAAGTTGTGTCTAAAGGCCCTAAGAACATTAGTGAAGGTTTCGTGTCTCTGCGGTTTACGGTTTCGGAGGAGTAGCGATAACAAGGTTTTCAGTGAAAGGGGCAATAACTTTTAAAAGGGTAAATCTTAGGGGACAAGTATGAAATCTTTGAAATAGTTTTAAGAGGACATATTAAAGATGCAAAGAGATTTAGTATATAATGAAAGACAAAAGAGATATAAAAAGAGCTTAATTTCTCAAATTTTGAATGACCTTGACCTTTGACCTTGAAAAAAATTTCAAGATCTGAGGCCATAGAATCTAATGCAGTTGGTTCCATGTCTGTACGACTTATCGTTTTGAAAATTTTTCATTATTTGTAAACTTCATAAACTTTCAGGGGCAATAACTCATTGAAGGGGTCGAGAAATCATTTCGCAATGAATAGATTGAAAAGTCCTCTCAATTAGTCAAAGACATTGGTGAAGGTTCTGTATCTCTACGATTTACGGTTTCGAAGGAGTAGCGATAACAAGCTATTCTTGTGAAAGGGGCAATAACTTTGTAAGAGGTCATAGGTCAAACACGTTGGGTCGTTTTTCGGAATAACTTTTAATATCCAGTATCATGAACTATAAAGTTTTTTGGTAAGTCTTGCGGTTTCAAAAGTCCGGGAAGAAAAAGAATAATAATAATAACTAGTAGACTAATTGTTCTCGAACAATTAGAGGTCTTTCCACCTTCTTTAAATTTCATATATTTTTCATATTTAACTCTCTATTGTTTTATTTTTATACAAAAGAAACAAGAAATGGCTTGAGAAATGGAAAAAATGAAATTTAAAAAAAAAATTGAATGACCTTGACCTTTGACCTTGAACAATTATTTAAGTTCATAAGTCAAGGGTCACATTGCACTTGACCCCATGCTTCTACGACTTTTAGTTTTAAAGTTATAAGGTTTAATAGTAAGAGGAAAGACGTTAAAGGGCGATAACTCATATAAGGGGTCATCGGATCCTTTCGCACTGAATAGATTGAAGTTGTGTCTAAAGGCCCTGAGGACATAAGTGAAGGTTTCGTGTCTCTGCGGTTTACGGTTTCGGAGTAGTAGCGATAACAAGGTTTTCAGTGAAAGGGGCAATAACTTTTGAAAGGGTAAATCTTAGGGGACAAGTATGAAATCTTTGAAATAATTTTAAGAGGACATATTAAAGATGCAAAGAGATTTAGTATATAATGAAAGACAAAAGAGATATAAAAAGAGCTTAATTTCTCAAATTTTGAATGACCTTGACCTTTGACCTTTACAAAAATTTCAAGGTCTGAGGTCAAAGAATCTAATGCAGTTGGTTCCATGTCTCTACGACTTATCGTTTTGAAAATTTTTCATTATTTGTAAACTTCAAAAACTTTCAGGGGCAATAACTCATTGAAGGGGTCGACAAATCATTTCGCAATGAATAGATTGAAAAGTCCTCTCAAGTAGTCAAAGACATTGGTGAAGGTTCTGTATCTCTACGATTTACGGTTTCGAAGGAGTAGCGATAACAAGCTATTCTTGCGAAAGGGGCAATAACTTCATAAGAGGTCATAGGTCAAACACGTTGGGTCGTTTTTCGGAATAACTTGTAATATCCAGTATCATGAACTATAAAGTTTTTTGATAAGTCTTGAGGTTTCAAAAGTCCGGGAAGAAAAAGAATAATAATAATAATAATAATAATAATAAACATAAGCATTTCAAGAGGTCTTTCCACAGAAAGGTGGAAAGACCTAATAATAATAATAAACATAAGCATTTCAAGAGGTCTTTCCACAGAAAGGTGGAAAGACCTAATAATTGATTTTATGATATAATAGCAAAGAATGGTATTTGCATGGTTAAGCTCCAGAATGGTGCTAAGTTAGTTATATATGTATAATGAAAATTCCATAACTATTTAATTTTTTTTTTCAACTGTTGGACATAAACAGTTTGCCAAATTGTAATGAACAATTATTATCACTACCAAAATTTTGAATTTCAGTACCCCTAGATATAGGGTTCAGACCCCAGGATGAAGCTGAATTTATCTTATATTGAAAATTGTCTTGGAAATTTGTCTTGTTAACAGACAACCTGTTTGCCTAATTATAGATTATACAATGTTTCTGCCAACATCGTGATATTCATGTCTCTGGATTTCTCAGGGTTGGGGTTTTTGGATGAGGCGAAGTTGAACAAAATTCTTTGCTGTATTTTTGGTGTATATGCTTGTTCGTACAGTTAATAAATGCCAACCCCACCCCCTTCAAATGAAATAAGGGACCTGCAGTTATAGTACATGTAAATTACCATGTCTGCTCAGTTTATCACAATCTTTAACCAGCTAGCAGTATATAATTACACATGTACTAAGAAAATCAGAAACACTGGATGTTCATTTTGGAAAAACTGCTTATGACCCAACATTCTGTAACAGCAATGACCAGAGGTCATTTTAACAAATTCAAGGTCATTAAACTGAAATGTTTGAAATTATCCATGGACTATTATAACTTGATAGCAGTGAATGTGGACAGTGTCCAGCTGTAATTAGGGAATGTGTATTCAGTTCTATTTTAAAATTTTAAGAACATTAATTTAAAAAAAAAATCATTTTAGAACTTGTGTGAGAGGTGTAATGAAATGAAAAAGTTATTTATAGCTCAGATTACATCATTAATATTCAAATGTACAAAATATAATAAAAATGATCTAATCATCTAACTATAGATTATTCATAAGTGGGTACTTAATAAATGGTAAAGGCTCTTGTGGAGCAGTATATCTGTGCATGATATTACAGTGTCCTTGAGATATGAACTGTCATGAAGATTTTCAAGCATGCATTTCATATACTATAATTGTTATTAATGCATCATAGAAGTGTGCATGTATATTCGATTTTCAGTGAATTATTACGTGTATGTATATATATACATGTTATATGTTAAATATTTTGGACAAAAAAGACAATATTTTTGTTATTCATGACCTACATTTGCACAAGAAAAAAGGACAGCAGACATGGATATAATTATGTTGTTAAATGATGATTATTTTTGGCATTCATTTTCATTTAATTACTCGATCTGTAGTACCAGGTACTTTTTTTTGTGACATGGTTACTTTAGAAAATGTGGACATCTTATTGGATGAAAAATATATCACTCCCAGTCACATGATCGAAAATAACACTTAACATTTTTTGTGACCTACTTTAAACATGTATTTGCAAAAAACAATTATAGTTGATGAATACTTGACAAAAAAATAATAGGTATATTCCATATTATGATTGAGTTCAAGAAAAAGTCTTGGAATGACTGGAGTTGAATGCTTACAATGGTTAACATTTACACATATCTGTGGAACTGCATTGCCCATGATTCTGACTATATTTGGTATTTTGGACAAAGTTTCGGGGCAAAAAAACTGAATTCTGACAGTTTGACAAGTGTTATGTAATGCTGATCTAATAGACACATGAGGATGACTGTAACACAGAACAATTAACCCATATTTTGTGTCATATTCTGGCTACTTGAATCAGCTGATGAGAGTGCTGTACTAACACCATTGTCAAAATGTTGATCAGTGGAGAAAGCAGCGAACAGTGGTGTAGCCCTTGCCTTTACGGTAAGCGATTCTTTTTTCCATGGTTTGGTCTCTTCTTGTTGTGGTATTTGCATTTTGTAGTGATTTTGCCGTCAATAGTTTCAAAGGTCTGTTCTCATGCAGTTCGAAAAAGCCTGTGAAGGTTCATTGGTTGACACAATTTGATTGGGTATTGGATTTGAAGTGTGCTTGACCATAGATCAAAGTTCCATACTTTTCTAAAACTAGCATAAGTTGTTAAAACATTTTAATCAGGTCATGAGCATTTTTAGTTAATTTTAGATAATTATGCTTAATTCTGTTTTATGCTCAGTATGAGAGTTATTTGCATGCTCTTGTAAGAAAATGGTGATGTTTAATGGTATAAATCAGAATTTAGTGTTATTCAAATTTTGTTAAAACCAATATAATAGTGTATTGGATCATTCATTTTGACTTTAAAGTGTCAAGCAGTGAAAACAAGTCTAACATTTAACACAAAGTGCAGATCAGTTTATCATTTTGAGTGTACTTTAGAAACTTTTCTGATTCAAACATCCTACATACCCTATACCTGTAAGCTACTGGGCTAAAAATTAGGCTTAGATTAAGCAATCCTGATGAAAGCATCACATGTTGCATGAGTTTAATGAAGGGAGTGTGTCCCTTGTCGCTGTCCCCTCTCTCTGCTCTTTCATATTTTCCATTTTTTCTCCTGCCTCTCTTCCTTTTCTTCTCCCCTTTTTTTCCTCCCACCCTTTCATCTGGCTTCCTTCTCTTACCCCACCCCATTGCCTACCTATTTTGAACCATTTCCCCCTTTTCCATAAGTAATAGTAATGAAAGTTTCAGTTATTCAAACTTTATGCCCCCCCCCCCCTTCTCTATTACTATCAATATGCATCTGTAGTTTGTATTGAAAATATTTTTGCTATAACACTTTTACTCTTAAATGCTATATACATAGAAATACAGTGATAAATTTGCTCATTTTGATCCATTTTTCACCCAAAGGCATTTTCTTAAGTTGGGATGATGACGAGAAAGTGAAAATAAAATGGGTAGAAAATTTCTCAGTATAGAGTGGATTGTTAAAGGATTGGATGGGTTGTTGTTTTCTTCTTAGACAGACTTGTTAAAGTGTTTGATCTTAAGTGGCACTATGTTGTGTTACGTTCTGTTATGACACTGCAAGTGTTAACATGCTTAATGTTTAAGTAGTATGCTGCTAGTGATTCCAATTATCAAAACATATCTAGGATTTTTAAGTAGATGGAATTCTAGTTTGTTTGTGGGGGTTTTTTTTTTTTCATTGTATGTCTCTTTACACCTCTCCATAAACAATTAATCTATTTGTTTTCCAAGAACTTAATTTTTGTGCAATTATACTAGACTGTTTGCTTGCAAAAATTTTATTCTCGCATATATTTGTACATGTATTGTGAAAGATTACTTACAACAATAACCAAAAATTTCTTCTTATAAAAAAAAAAGAAAACAAATTATTGAACTATCTCACCAAAAAATAGGCGTCACAAAAGATTTGGCAGCCCACAATAACAATCTAATTTTGAATCTGTAAGAAATTGGCATTCAGATATTTATGTATTGAAATAGGTAAAGATAATGAACAGTGATCAATGTTAAAAAACCTTACAATCAATAGAAATCTGTGAACAGGGCATAAAACTCAAATCCTTGGAAATTTCAGCGTGGGATTAGGTGCCTAGGATGAGTAAGCATCCTGTCGATCTTGGCCATCAAAGGCAATGTAATCAATGTTTCTCTGCCCCAGAGCATAAAATTAATTAATTGAAATGTTCAAACAATGAATGTTCAAGTGGCATACCAAGGTAAAAAAGCACCCTTTCTTTTCTAGAGGGAAGCAATCAAATTTCAACCCCCATCTCACGGTAGGCTGAATACACCCTGTATGCTAAACACTCACTCCTTCCCATTCCACAACAGGTTGAACACACTTCTCCAAATCTCACTGTAAGTTGAATATACATACCTCCCCTTATCCCACTATAGGCTACCACAAACTCCATCCCAGTTAAGGCTGAACACACACACTCCTCCTGACATGCCTCTGTATGCTGAACACACACTCCTCCTCATGCCTCTGTATGCTGAACACACACTCCTCCTCATGCCTCTGTATGCTGAACACACCCCTCCTCATACCTCTGTATGCTGAACACATTTCTTCCATTTTGCTGTATGCTGAACACACAGTGTAGACTGATGCCACTGTAGAGTTAACACTTACACCTCACCATCGAACTGTAGGCTTTAAACACACACTCCTGATCCCAGTGTATGCTGAACACACCTTCCTCCCATTCCCTGTATGTTGAACACTCACTCCTCCTCATGCCTCTGTGTGCTAAATACACACTCCTCACAATCCTGCTGTATGCTGAACATGACCCACTCCTTCCCCATCCCATGTACGCTGAACACAACTTTCCTGATCTCACTATAGGTTAATCACAGACCTCTGCCCCATCCATCTATAGGCTAAACACATACTCTTTAAATTACCATCCCACTGTATGCTGAACACACACTCCTCCCCATTCTTTATGCTTAGCACACAATCCTCCAAATCCCACTGTATGCTGAACATTGCTGACACCTCCCATAGCATTTTATGCTGAACACTCACTCCTCCCCATCTCACTGTATGCTGAACACATGCACTCCTCCCCAGCCCATTGTATACTGAACACACACTCTGCTCTATAATATTTTATGCCAAACACACACTCCTCCCTATCCCACTGCATCGTTGCAAACCATGGCCAAAATGTACGATCCCCTCCCATTCTGGCCGTGGTTGAATGAGAAGAGAATATTTCGCATCTCATTAAAATATTGACCAATGCGAGTAAAGCATAGTCGGATAATGAACTTTGATGCGACCTTTCAATACCCAATCGCAGTATACGAAACATTTCTTGTATACTGTTGATGTCAGTTGTTGATTTCAATTGTGATGGAAACAAATATTGTCATTGGCTGAACATGACGTCACAACATAGAGGCGTAAATATTAAAGATTACAACACTTTTTGTGATCAAGCAGCCACGGGTAGAAGAGAGCTATATGCGGACTCCATACCGTGGCTTGAGACGATGATCCCACTGTAGTCTGAACCCAAACTCCTTCCCATTAACCCACTGTAGCCTGAACAAACACACTAGCTCTTCCTTATCCCACTGTAATATGTTGAACACACACTCCTTCCCAACCCACTATATTCTGAATGCACACTCTGCCCCATAATTCTTTCCTCCCCATCCTATGTTTCATGTTATGAGGTATTGAATGTAGGAACTACTTGGATGTAGTGTACTAATTGAGATTGAGATTTCATAGGCAACAATCATAAGTTTCATCACATAGCAAGGAATTTCCTTAACTTTTATTAAACAATCAGTGATCCATCAACTTCAAATGTCAGTAACTGAAGTTGTCTTTTCTTGGTTAGGTTCTCAGGATGGCATGTCAGATTTGCAAAATATGTCCGTTTGTGTAAACCCCTGAAAGTGAAAGTGAAAGAGGAACTCCATGATTCACATTAGTGTCATAATACACAAAACTATCTCCTGATATTTGTGATGAATAATTTTGCAGGCTGTCTCATAATGGAAAATACTCCTTACTAAGAAGTGTTAGCCTCATCTTAGTATATTTTCACAATTGTTTTTCTTTATGTCTGCAAATAAACAAAATAATTTTTTGGCACTACTTTCTTTCCCTACTGATTATAAAAAGAGAAAGGTGCACCCATTTTTAGATATTTTGTATTGAAAATCATACATACCCATAATGAAACATGTATCCTTTCCACTATGAAAAAAAACACATAATGATGCAAAAGTTGCTGCTCAGTAAAGAATTAAAAAAAGAAAAGAGGTTTTTGTTTCCAGGTGATACATTTAGTAAAACTGTAGGTAATGCCTCAGAAAAAAAAAGTGTAGTTGATATACCAGTAAAAAGTGTAGATGATACATAAATCAAAAGTGTAGGTGATAGCGTCATCAGGAAATAGTGTACATGTTGCATGCAAATCAGTAAAAAGTATGTGTGATACACCATTCATATTGATATATCACCTGCACTTTTTACGGAGGTATCACCTACAGTTTTATTGATATATCACCTACATTTTTACTGAGGTATCACCTACACTCTAACTGATGTATCACCTACAGTTTTATTGATATATTGTACGGGTACATAAATTGGCGTATTCAAAATTTAGCACAATCACTGGGTATGGACTATGGAGTTGTTGGCAAAAACATGAATTAGCGCCATATATGTCTGTGCCGTATATTATATCTAAAACTGATTTCTTAGCGGTATTCATGAATTAGTGCATCGTTGACTGCACCAAAGCCGCTAAAATATGAATCCCACTGTTTTTAAGTACACATGCAGTATCCTCTACACTGTAACTGAGGTATCACCTACACTTTTATTGACTGAGGTATCACCTACACTTTTTACAGAGGTATCACCTACACTTTAATTGAGGTATCACCTACACTTTTACTGAGATATTGCCTACACTTCCTACTGATGCTGAATAGTCAGGATAATTCCACCCAATACAGACTACTATTAATGTACTTTTATCCATGGGGTCATAATTCTGTGAATTCACAATTTCTTTTTCAATTTCTGTTCATTCTGACGGTAGAAAATTATGTGTATTTCTTAAATTTTCACTGTATGCCTTAAATTTACTCTAAGTATGTTGGGACAAATTTCTGTGTAAAATTTGTAACCATGTATAGCATAAATTAATACCATGCAAAAAAGTACTTCAATAGTGCTTTGCTTATAGACAATAAGTGACTCCACATTGCAGTTTAGCTTGCACATATATACCATTACATTTACCATATTAATTCCAAGTACATTTTTTGTTGAACTAATATGCTTATACCCAATATCTTTATCACGTCTTCCTAAATTCACTGTTTAATGAACAAACAAATGTACATGTGTCCTGCACACAAGTTAA